TATCAGACGTCTTGACGACTGAAAGCCTGCCTATGATAAGACCGGTGACTGGGGAAAAAAAAAGATTTAACTCGAAAGGAAAAGAAGTGGAATTTAACAATTCCTTAAATAGCAGACGTGCGATTGGTTTCGGTGTTAAATTTAGCAGAATTTGAACATGCCTGCATTGGAGCCGCAAAATGCCAGGTTTGACCTTTCCTGTCATCTTGCGTCTTTCGCATGAACTGCCACTGAGGGGTGAATAAGGTGGGTGTTTAAGCAACTTGACTGGGAGGTATCATTGCAGGACTCTGCGTTAGTCGTAACTCCTTTGGGGAGAATTTCAACGATGCCCAGACCTTGGGTAAAAAAGGGCAACACTGCATTAATTGTTAGGGTGTGCAGAACTTTTCATACTTTCCCTCCTCATTCGGCCGAAAATATGGAGGATCGTGGTGGAAAAGTAGTTGCAATGGTACTAAGCTAAGATGTCGTGAATACACGAATGGATAAGAATTCCACCATTAAATTGTCACATTGGCCAGCAACAGTGACTCCCTTTAACCATATTTTAATTTGTCTCACATTTCTTTCTTTTTTTTGGAATGTTTGAGGTTGCTTTTTTCTCCGGTTAAATTAATCCGGAGACAAGTGGACACTTGGAGTTGCGTCATTCGGTGGAATAATTATTCTCCGGTCATATTCCCCTATGCATGACACTTACACTCTTAATAGCTAAAAAATACGGCATATAACATTAGTAACTAAGTATAATGCTGGTGTAACGCATTATGAAGTTGGGAAGAAAGTTGGGAAATTTTGGCGACTATCATAAGAATGGTATTCAAACAGTAATGATATCGCTAAAACCATTTGTATGTAGTTGAGATAAGCAAAAATAATTTGTCCTAACACCCAGTAGAGGGCGGTTATTCAAGAAGTATGCTTTTTTGCCCGTGGCCTAAGGTGCAGAGCGCTAGTCCGACAGTTGCATAGACTCATCGGTTTGTCCAATCAGATGCCTCAATTCACCATTGGTCACTTCCAACCAATTAATTATCAGAGGGGGACGTGGTAATTCATCCATTAGCCAATAAGCAATCAGAATATGGACAGTGGACACACCGAGCAAATGAATAAAGGCCGAAGACGCGTGCCCTCCTGCTCGAAGGATATTTGTACGCAGTGGAGTCTAGCGTCTCCAAGTGGAGTATTTTATTTTCCTATTACATTCCCTCCTTTAATAATACTATTTCATGGATCAGAATCAATCTTCGGTCTCATCTCCTCATATGGATTCTACGACAGATTCAGTCAATTCTGACACTACCATTGTGCCTCAAAGCCAAGAAAATGGAAATCCAAGTGAGTTTTGTTTCTATTCACCATAATTGAATATGAATACTATAACTACATCCAGCTGGGTTCGCTGATTAAGTTACCGTCCTTTAAGGGTTTAAGGAATTATTCCTTTCCCCATCGTTTGCAGTCTGCGCAAGACAGTAATGCCTAAGGGGTCATAAAGTAATCGCTTGAAGAATAGCCGATTTATTAACGTTTCAGCTATTGTAGATGCTGACGGCGCCATTTTTGTCATCGTATTTGGTGTGGAGGAGTAACGAGGCGTGTTGTTTCTCCGTGTGGAATTTGCTCTACTGAACAGTCCATTTGCAGATGCTGGCATTTGTAAGAGAGTCAGCGTGGATTTTGTGTCCTATTTCCTGTTCATGCACACTAGTTTGTTGGTGGTACACATCCGCTGGCGTGACTCATCTAGGAACTATTAGCGTCTCTGTCATGGAAATGTTCGCCTATTGGCACATTTTAAACAATTTCTCGGTGGTAGGACGTTTTCGGTTTCGTGTATTCATTGCCACTGAAGTAGAGTCGGTTTGTTCGGCTATGCAGTTGGGTGTTGTATTTTAGACCAATCTCTTCTTTTTCATTTTTAAAACAAAGATGCTGTCACCACCTATCCTGATGCAAGAGAAACGGACAATTCGACGCTTCTAAATGGAATTAATTCAACAGTTGTAAGTACTCGGATTTGTCCTATGGTACAATGGTGACACTAATAGTGGCTTGTATTTGACAAGAGCAATTGTTTTGTGCAGAGGCCGGATACTTTGTTTCCGTATGCTGCAACAGTTGGTGCAGTTCCTGGGGGGAGCATGGAGACGACCGGATTAACGCCTCGACCCAATGGTCATGCAACACCAGCGTTTCCAGCTCCAGGTCCTACTATAGTTCCTCTTGGTGGTTTAGATGTGGGACAACTTACCGCCATTTACCAACACATGGTGGACTCCGTAGCACTCACCAATTTTCTAGTCAATTCCTCTGCAACTGCCACCGTTCCTAGCAACAATGGTCATAATCAATTCCTTCCACCTTTATACCCCGTAAGCTCGTCTAGCAACGACGTTTACTTATTTACAACGGGCGAGTACTCTACGTGTCAGTGGATGGTTCTTAATACATCTGTTACATCGCTTTAGAATAACACAACGGTTACGCAGTTCCAGCACACAGAAAGTACTTGTCCACCGATGCTAACGGTCCCATCAGAAACTTCTTCTATCACGACCCCATCACCAGGCACAGTGATTTTGCCTTCCGTGTGGCAGAATTCACCTTCGGCTCTAAACAGCACTCCTGTGCCGTCCGCTAATAACAATCAGGTTGCCGCGCTAGGCGCCTTCTACGAGGCGATGAGAAGTCATCCCGTGATGATGCAACCCGCGGCATTCCCGCAGCCACCACAGCCTCCAACAGCCTATTCTATGGATGTGGCGACACAAGCTTTGGCTTACATGGTGGCACAGCAAAATTCACAACTCTTCCTCCAACAACAACAACAACAACAGCAACAACAACAACAACAACAACAGTTTTCGGCAAACTTAGTTCAAAATCCTCAATTTCATCCAAACGGTGTTGTCCTACCTACTGTACCAGGCATCACTCATAATGGTGCAGGTAGGTACTTCTTTACTCTCCTGAGGGTGAATATTTCGTCTCTATGGTCACTCTCTGTCATGCATTTTTCGTTTTCAGTTCCTCCGCCATCCTCACTCACCTATCCACAATTTGGCATGCGTGAGTACTTTCTTTCCTTCATCCCTTTAATTCCCCTTTCTTGACGTTTGGAAAGTACGATTTGAGTGAATTGTGCGTCCTGTCCTTCTCCCACCAGCGAATATGCAAAATCTCGCCCAAGTGTTTGCCCCTCCTGTTCACCACCGGCCCGCCGGTCGGGAGCCAATGTTGACGGGGCCAGAAAACTCCAACCTCTTCATCTACCACCTCCCACAGGACTACGGCGATATGGATTTGGTGAGCCTGTTTTCAGCGTTCGGACATGTGATAAGTGCGAAGGTGTTTGTGGATAGAGCAACAAATCAAAGCAAATGCTTTGGTAAGGACTTACATCACAGACAAAGCACATTATTGCATTTATGTTTGATAAAATTGAGTTTTTTTTTGTCTGTGTGTGTGTGTGTGTATTTTTCTTAGGTTTTGTTAGTTACGATAACCCGGTAAGTGCTCAACGAGCCATAACTGAAATGAACGGCTAT